CGTTACTCCCCGGAAAGGATAATAGCGCGTTCGTTCCCCACCATAGACACCTGCGGTCCAGAGATTTTGCAAATATCTCAGCAACGTTGTGGTTGTATATCATCTTATATGTATTCTTTCTTTGATGAGCATACACGAGGTTGATAATGGTATTTATTTTCGGCTAACGTTTCGACGTCTTAGTCTTCCTCGGAGCCGATGATCCGAGTCGATGGTCCACGCTTGTTATGGAAAAGCTCATGCTGGCTAAGCTTGCGCGAAATAGGCTATGGTCTTATCTAAGGGGGGGGGGAGGGGGGTGGGGGCTAATAAGCCCTAGCTTAGGCTATGCTTAAGCTTATGTGCTAGCTGATAATAACACCGACTTCTGCAGGTTTAATTGTCCGGGAAAACAAGTTAGGAAAACGAAGATGTCGAAACATTAGCCGAAGATAAATATCATTATCAACCTCGTGTAAGCTCGTCAAGGAAAGAATACATATGATTACATACATATTGATTAGTGACACCGAGGTCCAAGGAAAGTCGGTTTCGAAATATTACTACGCAATCATCTTAGTTTTCTAATTGGCGAAGCTTCGCTACGCTTTGCGAATGCTTTGGCCAGCCTCTGCAAATTTGACCTTAACACTGTCTTCTCTCTTTAAGATCTTTTATTGCCTGTCTCCATTGTTTTGCAAGTTCAAACGTGAGTTGGCTGTTGCCGGCAGCTCGTGCGATTCCACACTGGTGTATAAGGTAGAGTGTTTCTGGAGACAGACATCTCTTGGTGACTTTCGAACTCTTAGCTTTCATACCGCTCGTGTGAAGATGTCGAGAGGGCCGGTTGTATTCCCTGTCGGTTTCATGAAGAACGGCACCTTCCCAACAGTCGACTTATGAGCCGAATAAATCCTAGTTTATAATGGTTTTCGGATTTCGTTCCTTGATTTTCGCAACCCTTTCTCCCTTTTGAAAAGAAATCTTCCACGAAGGAAGTGATAGTCTGATCTCGTGTAGTTTTCGGAAAACTGGAACATCAGTTAATCAAAACCATTAGTTTACTATGATGCGGTTTATTTCGTTATGGTACTCTCCATTGAGCTCTCATGTCCAGCCTTGAAAGTGGCGCTTCTGAAATTACGAGTTACCACAGAAGGCCTTGATCGACACAACAAATTCAAAGCGCCACTCGTCTTGCTCGTTTCTTTTTAATCCGTGGGTCCCATTGTGACGATCTTCGGACATTCTTTTGGGTTCAATTTTTATGTTAAAATCAATCATTTAGAATGCTCGCCTTTCGTCTTCGTCATGGTTTGATGTCGGTGCGTAAACGGTAAAGACTGTTAAAGCCAGTATTGGTCCACATCTTTCCAATTGCTAAAGTCCGAAACGGGTTGCTAGTTGTTCGAATAAACCGGCATTCGTGTTTAAACCTGTGTTGAAAAGAACGCCGACGCCACCGACTCCTCTTTACTGTCCCATGTTCCAAAAAACAGTTCTTCTCGGGTGTCATCGATGGTTATGTGTGGATTGCTTCTTCTCGTCTCAGCAAGTCCAGTGTCTCCGAACCTTATCCTTCTTTCCTGCATGATCAAGTCCCTTTTCGAGGACTCAGATGCATGGGTGCCTGCACTGTAGGCACGGATTCTCGGTATAGTTCATTGTGATTTAGGAAGCCTGGAATTACTCCGGGAATTTAGTAGTTTTTCCGCGTTCGTTTTATCCAGTGCTTCCGTATTGGGGCTCACTGGGATCAGGGAATGAGGCCCACATATTCTCCTGTGTCTAACGTTCGCTACTGACGTATAGCTTGCAGAGCTTGTAACGTGAAGTTCGCATTTTTTTCTCCTCCAGAGTAGATGCACTTTTTTTCTGTATTCAACTGCCAGCCGCCTCTCATATACTTCCCTGTCACATGAATACAAGCTTTTGGCTGAATTGACTCATAGAATATTATCTGCACAAACAAGAGCACGTCCACGCACCAACGCATGAATACATTTTAGCAAATACAAAAGGTATTTACCAAATCGAGGAAGCGGAGACAGGGAGCGCACTCCCTGTATCCAACTTCGTCTTAGAGAAGCATAAGGTCGCTTTTGGTACGCGATTAGCCACCTAACCGCCACGGCACGTGTCTCGTTCTCTTGCCAAATCGGCAAGAGATCCCTCTGTAAGGGAGCGCACTCGGCTGTTTTCATAAGAAGGTTAATATAGTGTACCAATATTAGGGCGGTTGAGCCCACATATCATGATCGTTGATATATTTTTTCACTTGTCACCCGCTTCACTACGGGTTAAGAAAATGTATTTTACTTTTAAAAATTTGCACGAACCTAAAACACCACCGGAGCCAAGCGGACAACAGAAGTTATTCGTGTTGCACATGTAGCCAACGGGGCAATCTTGATTAACGCATGGGCCTAAATAACTACTTTGGTTAACCTTTGTACAATTTTCTTGGAACGCTCGGCCAGATTCTTTCATCTTCTCAAACGAATATCGTCGAAAGAAATACAGTAAAAACTGAAAAATATGGTTTTTCGTGTTTTAGTTGTGTTTCACTACTGCTACTGACCGGTTGTATTTCCAGACTGACAGCGACAACAAAAGTTGTTGGCGGTGCAGAAGTATCCTTGACCACATAGTCCGGCCAAGCACGCCGCCACCGCTGGACCACCCGAGCATGCCGCTATAAATATCAGTGACCAAATAGTACTCATCGAAAATAGAAATTCTTTTGAATCTCAGTTTAAAACATCGAGCCATACAATATTTGAACGTGTGAAACTTCAGATTGCCGTGACAATTCTCTTAATTGCTCGCAGTAGAAGCGCTTGGAAGGTCAAAAATCGCCCTCACCTCAATTATCTTTTGCCTATCTCTTGTGATCATTAGAAGTAGAAACTTTCTGAAATTTGGAAGAAAACAACCGAAAAAACAGAACTTTACAGTAAAGACCTATTAATAATGTCTAGCATTTTACCACGCTTCACTATTCTCATTCGATGTTATGGTCAGAATTGAACTTCTCTCAATCAAGTTTGAACCAATTTGATAAGCCAAAAAAGACTTGGACTACTCCACAACTGCAGCTGCAACATTAAAATTTTGTTAGTGGAGCTACAGTGCTACAGCACCAATACAAAACTTTGTGATATACCATGTTCTCTGTCATACTTTAGACCAAAATGTTTCATAAAGAAAACATAACGGCAAGAAGTGCAGCTATTTTGTATGGTACTGTTTCATATAAAGCAAGGACGAAGATGACGAACAGATCAGTCTCGCTCGTGCGCTGATGCTTAGCCCAAGTAAACATCTCGACGGCTCTCGCTGTTAGGGTAAATAAAGCAGAGAGGTCGAACTACCATGTTCGGTCAGTGAGGAAAATACATCACAAGGACAAATTGACTACGCTGCGCTCACTATCACTTCATGTTAATTTCATCAGATGAATCTATGAGAAGAATGAAAACATTGGCTTAAGTAACATCTAAATTTCCATTGCTAATACAGTATTTAAAGATAGAACGCGAAAACAAGTAGTGGTCATGAAAATCCACCAAGGTTTTAGTTGGAAATAGGGAGACAAAGAAAATACGATGAAAAGAGCAAGAAGCCTATTTAAAGGGTCAAAGGTATACTGCAAAGCAGTTGTGAAATATATCGAAATTTTAATAACAATACACATATATCACTACTTCCTATTAAATCGAAGTTGTACTGAACAAAAATTGACATAGGCGGAAGGGTTTGAAATCAGTAAGAGAAATAATCACCTCCCATACATATTACTGTTGTATCTCCTTGCCAATTTAATAAACATCATTCCGTGTTTCAAGGAAGGAGATACCGTTTTGATAAATTTTACACGTCCTTTCATTATGTCTATTGTGCGGATCTCAGCACCTCTTGCATGCTACAATGCCTTCCGTTCATCATGCAAAAGTTCTACAAATATTTCGGGAGTTGTTTTAGCCGCTACATGAATTTCCTCGTCTTCATCAATTCCTTCGAGTGATGATCGACTCGATTCTACCCGCATTCTTGGAGAGTAAAGCGTTTCCACATGCATTCGAGGAGAACGTTTTGGAGAGGATCGAACCAGGACATGGCATCCTGATGGATTGCATCGTTAACCAGTGCGCTAACGTATTCCGGTTTTCCAGAATCTTCTTTTGAGTTGCTAATGAGGTTTAGATTTGATTTAATTGTTGGCTAACGTTTTCCTCTTAACCTCCAGAATCGTTGCCTCTTCGAAGAAAAATACTTTGCCGCAGGGGGACAGATATCCCTCTACCCCAGAAAGGATGGCGACTACCTAATGTGATGGGAGCTTGAGGACACTCTCGCACATATTTCTCGAGACTTCAAGCAATGCGTCAAGCGATAAATATACCAGTTCAATATAAAGTTTTCTAAACCACGAAAGGATGAACACAATGGTCAATGAGCAAAATTATATCGCAAGACTAAAACTCACTCTCAAGGTTGACATTGTTCGTTGGACAGCAACATCCCTGCACACAGACCGACACCACTGGGAGCATTTGGCACTGATAATTGTTGGTACACGTTGAAAAGCAAGTAGGTGGGCATCGGAATTGACGTTTCGTTCGCGACACGGTCATATTAGCATCATCGTAATGGTCAACAGCGATGTCTTGCAGCTTCATTCCTAACAATTCCATAATAGAGAAGCAATAGAAAAACCTAAATTGCATTCAAATATTGAAACTGTTAGCCCCATATCTCTATTTGTATGTGGATTGAAGGCCGCTGCTTGCTAACTTATCAATTTTCCTCTGTTTTTTGTGAGGACTTGAATATCGTAAGAACGAGGCCAGATAGACTAAGATAATTCTTAATAGTTAAGAGTTCGTAGAAACTTAGTCGAATATTGCTACAAATACAAATCGCTTTGAAGAGCGTTGCAAGCACAAAAGAGATATTCATTATAGTACCATTTATTAACATAGCCCTGTAAGCTCCAAAACGTCATCAGATTGTCATTGGTCTTCACGCTGAACAATATGTGAAGGAAAGGGTTTAACAGCAAGAAAATATACCTTCAGAAGAAAGCGATGACATGTCAGCGAAAACGAAATAAAGGACTATCGGCAAAAACACCGCTATGGAATATACGGTTTGCCTCATGGTGTCTGAAAATAACTTGAATACGAGAAAACTCGAGAACAAAGTTCAGCTTAAAGCGCTGCAGCTCTAAGAGACTTTAATTAAACGACTAGTCGCTTAGTAAAGCCTGAAAAACAATGTACAGTGCGGTGCTTACCGATTCCCGCTTGCTCATTAGAGTGCGTACCTGCCTGGGGGCGGGGGCAGGCGCCTATGTTTGGCTAGTCGCCCGCCCAGCACGCGTGCTCCACCCCAGACTCCGCCCCCAGGCGTTATGTCTCGCGCCTTTGACGTCTCATACCTCCTACGACTAAATGATCTACCCCCATCCAAGAACTCTCCAAATAGCGAACTGCTCCAGTTATTACGATGTCTGTTTGCTAGAGACGTTAAGATTTATCATCGGCATACTCTACGCTCATTTGCATACCAGGAAGTTAAACATGGAAGCATTAGGCAACAATGATGTCCTGTCAGCCTTTTGCGTTACAAGCTTCACCAATATTCTACGCAGTGAAGAAGGTACCTAGACAACTGCAGAATTCGGTAAACATCGTGGAGCGACGACTACTTCAAAGCTGGTTGATTATAATGGTTTTGACTATCGATATTGGTAGCATAACCGCAGCCTCCATTTTCAGAAGATCTACAGTCATATATATCTCCACGACTGCTAAATTATAGAAAAGATCTCTAGTATACCGGAAAGCAAGATTTCGTTTTGAAAAATGGTGAGCTAGAAAGCATCTGCAACAACACCTAAGTGACAACATAAGCTTGAAACACAATATTTGGTCTCAGGGAAAATAAGCCTAGAACAAAATCTAGAATTTCCGAAATGCTAAAAACGTCTGTCGTGGTGAGCTTTCTTCAAGGCGAGGTCGTCTTTTATCACGAAGGACCCGCTTCGAGCTCAAAATAACTCAGTGAGAGCTGTTGATTAAGGGCGGAACGCCTTCTCGGCGCAATCTCTCCGTCTCCAAGAGATTACTCCACAAAGACAGGAATCTCGAAAGTGCAAACCTTTTTTTGGAAATTCCCTGTTATTTGTAAGATAGACCGAGCCCCTACTCAGACTTATTTTCCAATGTTAATTTGGCGATTTAGAGAGCGTCTTTATAAATTCAACCTGCAAATAGACACGTTCGTACAATTTGGTTTCAAGTTTAAAAGCTTCCGTTGTTTATGTCATGTTTGATATCATCCAGAACATAGGCCAAAATATGAAGACGCCGTGAAATCTTTTCCGATTAATGCCCATTTTTTAAATTCCCGCCAGAATGAAATATTTTATTCAATATCACTCGCCAGTTTTTCGCGCTGAGGCTGAAGTACTCTCACAAAATCACAAGGATGCTAAGGTATTAGCAAAACTAGGAGCCTCAAGTGGCCTTCGAACTCCCGATAACCCTTTCTGACGGCTCACGTGCCATCCACCACACTAACCGAGGCCGTTGCTTTGCTCTTCTCTCAACCACTTTTTACTTTAACAGTTCTATCAGCAATCACTCGTTAATGGGGCACAAATCTGGAGAGTGCAAATTGGCACTGAAACCAGTTAATCTGATGCTGTTCTCAAAATCAAAATGTTGCCTCCGTTAATGTAGTGAATAGCACGTGAGCTCCCAGGAAGCGTAATCGTAGGTTGGAAGCCCAACTTAGGTTCCGAGTTTTGCTCATATGTCACCATACTTGTGGCTGTATTTCATATCATACCCTGTCATGAAAAAAGGATAAGCAGTTAGTAGAAGAACAGATTGTAATTTCTCACAAAATCATTGCATAAGTGAAATATCTAAGGAGGAATGATTCAGAAAGAGTTTATTTTTTAGCTAACAAATTAGGTGATTGATAGTCGTTGATGTTTACACAATAACCTTCGAAAAATTCTGCACAGTTTGCATAGAATCATACTCGACTCCATTTTCCTACAGAACAATGGAAGGCCATGAATAGTCACAGTAGCAAACAGAGCCGTGAAATAATGACATATCCATTTGGGGCGATAGCTTTACAGAACTCGAATTATCATAGACTTTTCTAAATACTAGAAATTTAAATTGTTGTAGGATCCCTCCCTCAAGCATGCAGAAGCCTTTTCTTGGGGAATGATGAGTGTGACGAATAGAACGATAAAGTGAAAATAATTTTTAGATTCGTTACCGTTTAAATTACTCAAAAAAAAATGGTGAAAGGCTTGCGCTGACGTTTTCCAATGAGTAGTCCTATCTGTGTACCAGCGAACCTGAACTGAACTTCTGAAATACCTTGTTTCATTGATAAGCTGACAAGAGCTTGCCACCGATATTTACTCGGTTAACGTTTCGACGTCTTCGGCTTCTTCAGAGCCGACTATACGAGCCGATGTTCAAAGTCGTTCGTCTTTTCGACGCCAATAGCAGGAACCACCACCGTTTTGATATCAAATTAGTAGCATGGTGGCAAATCCCCGCTGATCCACAAGGCCTGCGACTGCCTGTGATGGTGAAGACCTGGGCAGACTTTGGCCGAGCTGACCTCGGGATTCCAGGGAACCACAATGGCTTAAACAGCAAATCTCCGAAAAAAATGGGAATTATGCTGGTCCACGCACAATCAGTGAAGGTTAGCCATTCAAGTTTCAAGTAAAGTAAGTCCTATCTTCAACGCTTCCTTTCGGAGTGCGCCTTGATTTTACTCATGCACCTTTTTTTCTTTTCCCTTTTTAAGCTGTCACGAACCATCAGCAATAAACATAACTCTGAACATGTTTCCTCTAAAGAAGTGAATATTGATTTGCTCATTTTTTGTTTGTTTTCTGCATAATGTTCAAACTACGTCAGCCGCATCATCCAAGCGGTGTCAGGAAACTGAGCTTATTTCCGGAAAAACCAGTCTTCAGCAAACGAGTATTAGTCATTCATAAGTTCACAAAAGCGACCGTACCACAGTCATACCATGGATATTAAACTTATTTTTGGCCATACCTGACTGCGATTTTATGCAAGATTTATAAAGCTGTACTTTCCATTAGTTACACAGAAAATGACCCAGCTATTCGTTCTTATTCCTGGTGGCCAGTAATAGCACCTCTTCAATGTATCCAAATTTATAAAGCTAACCACTCAATGTTTGTTGTCTCAGAGGAAAGACCTCGATAAAATAAGGTGACACGTACAAGATCGGCAACGTAGAAAGGTGAATGTAACTAAGCAAAAATCCCGTAGTCGTGGGTAATAGGCTCGCAGAGTCGAAATTACTGAATATATTGCCTCACCTCTCTACTCCATGGAAAGTAAACGGTTTGATCTGGATATATCGTGGCCACGGGTACAATGAGAGGACCGGTCTCCGAGTACAATCGAAAAATCGCAAAGCAGATGATCGCCCTGAAATCTCTTTGTGACCATGTTGCCTGATCGGCAAACACTCGACTATTTATTCAACTTAATCAAGACAGAGGATGACCAACTACCATTAAACAACGGCTGGGGAATCTTCGGAGATAGTATGATAGCCCTCGAGAAGTTTTCACGATTTTAAATCATTCTGAAGAAACAGTATCCATGTTGTTGATCTCTGCGCTTAGAATTCAGTCTAAATTTCCTTGGTGTAGTAACTTTAATTTATCCAGATCTGCTTTTTAGTCACAACTTATTAGAAAGTTAAAATAATATATTGTGTTGTTCAATGAATTTTGGACTTGGGAACGGTCTAGGCGTCAAGTGAACACACTTCAGCACTTCTAAAGCATATCACAGTGCAATTAAACTCGGCATATTCGGAGAATATTCTTCTTAATTAGAAGACCTTTTGCTCAAGAATAGCCGAAGAGCTATAACAATCTTAGAGCTGAATAACCGGTGACCACCACTCCTCTGTATTGGCCATGCGAATATTTCAACGCATCCTGAGAGGTTACCATGGTTGAGAAATATTAACATTTGGGTGCACAATGCTTCAACACATTACTGTCCACATTTATTTGTCAGTCTGAGAAAATAAAGTTTATTTCTCAACAAAATCGGAAATAAAGACGAAAACTGAGATCTTCTTGTAAGCACCGAGACTGTGCAATGAACCATCGACTCGCATCATCGGCTCATGATATTAGAAGATGTCGAAACGTTTGCCAAATAAAGATTGTTTATCAACATTGTGTTTGTCAAAGGAAGAGTGCATATTAATTGCTTGTACCACGGTTAAGCGACAGTCGGTTTTCACATGTTGTCATGTTCTGTGCTAGCTGGTAATGATACCAACTTCTGCCGAATGAACTGTCGGAAAAACACAAGTTGTTATCACCAAATAACTACTACTATCAACAATCAGCACCCCATATAAAAAAGCATCGCCAGGTGAGAATGCCTCATCCGAGGGATGCTAAACTGAGGAAAATCCAACTGCATACGAAAACGGAGATGTCACATCGAGAGAAGCAACCGTGGACCATCGCATAGGAACATCGGCTCTGATGAAGACGAAGACTTTAAAACTTTAGCCGAATAAGCATCTTTATCGACCTCGAGTTAGACTAGCAATCAAAGATGGTACTGCACTATTAGACTTTGCTTTCTTCATTAATGCTATTGAATGTCGGTCGAAATGATTCTCCCTAGAATCCTGGCCTACAACCGCAACAGCATTCCCACACCCTTACCGTAGTCTCTCCTTCGATTGGATGCAACATAATACTGCTAGATATAGTTCCACTTTGCCCATCTTTGAAGGATGAGATGCTTGGGTGGCTTGGAGCCGGTTCGAACACCGAAGTATGTCGGATGTATGTTTATCGCATGACAACAGTCCACTAATTCTATATACTTTATCTTAACTAGATTTTAACTAGATTTTATGAGTAGTCAGGAAATTTTTTCCAAAAAATTTGTACGGAGTGACAAATAAACCCAAGCACCCTTGCAAACACCAAAATCGCTAAGCTCTGTCTAGCCGCAATTAAACATCCAATATTCTCTTTTGGAGCGTCGCGAAGATCCACAAGTCTGTCTAGAACTTTTGCGTTCTTAACATCGTAATCCCTTTTGGACGTTAGCACAATCCCACCACTAAATCCAGCATTATGCGCGAATACCAAAAAGATGAAAGATAAAGCTCTCTGCGTTGATCAATCCCTGAGGAATGCGCCATGTATTCGACTTCATTAAGCATCCTTGGAGGCTATTGAATGCATATCTGGCCTTTACAATGAATCGTGGTAGCCTGCCAGTGTATCGAGAAAATGCTGTTATCCTCCTAGAGTAGCCTTGTACCAAGTTGTCCACTCCGGAGGAAAAAGGACTTGGTGAGCCTGTGGCGAGGGATCAATCCTATGTGTATTGCAGGGCGCCTCTAACCACTGCTCTACACACGCCGCACGCTCATATAAGAGGGCATATTATTAAAATTTTTCAGTAAAGACAGCTACACATGCAGAATAACGGTGTTTGCTAATAGTTATATCTCTTACAGTGGAAGTGTAACTGAACGGTTAGCGACAAAGGTCGTGGGTGACTTGTTGGTTGGCTTAGATTTTTACGGCCTTTATAAGACGACTTTTCCTCTCCTACATTTATTTGTCGCCATTTTTTAATGACACGAAATAGTGGGGGACGACAGAGTGGTTAGCAATGAGGTCCATCAGGAGGCAAGGTGATAGTTCGACCTCCTTCCCAACGCTATCCTCCAATCCACATCGAGAACGGCTTAGTTCTACTATGTCCAAGATTACAACCAGAATCTATTGGACCACAAATCTTCGACATCCATGGGGAAGAAGTCCTCAAGCAGCAGTCGAAACCACGCGCGAAATGTTTGAAAACCTTTGTGGACGATGAATGTGAAGAAAACGAATCAAATTCAAAAAGTACTAGGATCCGGAGAATAGATATGATAACAACAGATCACGTGATAACATAAAAATGACAATAATGTTTAAGTAGATAAAGTTCCTTTTCCATTTAGTCAAACTAATGTGCACATGGAGGGTCATTGGTGAAAGTATCCAAAAACGCCAGTGATTGACCCCGAAATCCAAATCTATTGATGTCTGATTCCGGAAGACAAAGAACCAGTACGTGTATACTTAATTACACAAGTGTTGGAGGAAAATTCAAGAAGGGAGACGTTATGTTCATTTTAGGAAGACTGGCACCTATTCGGGATCTGGCGAAAATCCTCAAGTAGTCGTCGAACACAGGAACATAAGTCCGGCGACTTTCGTGGATGAACGATGCGAGGAAGCGAATCGCATGAATTGAGTATTTCATCGGAAAAACATTTTCATTACTACCACAACGATGCCGAGATATTTGCAAAACGTGGACCCCAGGCCAGATCGAAACATGATTCCCCCTTCAGGGGGCTCGCATAGTATGCATTGCACCACTAGGGCCTTTGCTTTGCGTTCCTCTTAGCTAATTTTCTACCTAACGCTGCCATCAACAGCCACTTGTCAACGGGATTGATCTGTAGAGCACAAATCGGCTAGTTGAGAATCTGGCCCCGGGTCCAAGTTTTGCGAGTATCTCAACATCGTTGTGGTTGTACTTCACATCATATCTTCCCAAGAAAAATTACAGTGAGCAGCAAATAAAAGGTTAACAACCAGCAAACAGTCATAAACCAGATGCGACTCTAAGCGGCTGTTCTTCCTGGATAAAAGGCAGGTATAAAACGGCTCTGAAGAAGGCGATATTGCCGAAACGTTAGCTACCGTTGTGCTGTATGTGTTATTTCTGTAAAGAAGTAAACGTGTGCTGAATAGCATCCTCGCGATTGCTGAAAAAGAGAACGACACATTTAAAAGGTTCACGTTTTCGTTATTTTTCATCGATTCATCACTTTCCATATGACTACAGAATTTAGTGACACAATTAACGCTCCCAAAATTTCAACCAATGAAGAACCACTATCTTCAGACTTAGCCAAGCTCTACAGCGAAAGCGTATCGACAAAATGCCACTATCATTGACAAATAACGTGCCCTAAATGCGAGTTTATTCCTGGCGCCCTTTAACTTTGCATTGACTTGCAGGCCAAGGCACTGACATCCCCCCGGTCATCCTGCTCTAGTGGTTGTTCTTACAAGTTTAGAAATCTTATGGACATTACACTTTACAGTTCTGTTTCTTCCTTTTTGTGTTTAATTGTTAGCGGCGGAGACCTCTCCCACATATGCCGCGTGTTGTCAATTTTCTATCTTAAGTCTTTACCTTCATTGTTTTCCTCTTTTAGCTTTCCTCTTCCTGTACTCTTCGTTTGGATGATTCGATTTATCCTAATTCAAAATAGAGCTGGAAAAACAAGGCTGGCGAAATGGTATATGCACTTTGATGATGACGAAAAGCAGGTATAATTTTCGACAGTTGGTCATCTTACATCTTGAGATCGATGTTTTATGTTCCTTTATATTCTATGTTGTAGTAGATTATTATGTGCCTAAAACTTCTTTCCTATTTTCTGTCATGAATCTTTTAGAAATTAATTGAAGAAGTCCATGCATGCGTTACTGTCAGAGATGCAAAGCACACGAATTTCGTGGAGGTGAGCTGCGCTGTGTTTTCATGGTTCCATTTTTCTCTTCCTAGAATATCTTATGATGAAAATTTCAAAGACACATTGAAGAAGAAAATCTCTATTCGTAGAATGGTAGAGATAGTTAATCAAAGCATTTAAATTATTCCTATTTTATGAAGCTGTGTCCGTGAGAGGCGTATAGCGCAGTGGTCGGAGGTGCCGTGCACGTGCGATCGATACCCGCGCCCAAGGTTCACTAAGCCCTCTATACCTCCGGGCTCGGCAAATTGGTACCAGACTTTTCTGGAGGGATAGCAGAACGGGCTCGATGTATCAATAGGCCGCCGCGAGACACTGTAAAGGCTAGATATACCTTCAGTCACCTCCAACGATACTTAATGAAGTTGAATGCATGACGCATCCCTCAGAGATTGATAAACGCCTTTATCCTTTTTTATTTCTTAGCGGTGAGAACACTGTACTTTGTCATGTGTATTTGAATGAATCAATTGCTCTTTGCAAAACTTGGAGAGTTCAGGAGATGGCTCGTCAGACAGCCTAAAAATGCCTTTATTCATCTCCGTAAAGAATTTTGGAGTTGTTGGAATGAATATTCTCTCTTCGCCGGCGATATTTCCATGTTGCTGTTTTTGATGTCAAAAGCATTCTTGTCAGTATGAAGTCGAATGTATTTCATCTCCTTCTAAGGAACATCTTTTACTCCAGGACGTCCTAGTTCAATGTTTTCATTTTACCAGTAGGATCTTCTGTGAAATGGTGATTTCTTTGTTGTGTGTTCACTGACTCCTATTGTTGCTTACCGCATTAAAGGATGAGGGTAAAGGTTAAAGCTGTTGGCATTGATCAATCCCTTGGGGATGCGCCATACATTCGATTTCATTAAGCATCGTTTGGAGGTGATTGAATGCATATCTGGCCTTTACAATGACTCGCGGTAGGCTCCCAGTGTATCGAACCACTGCTGCTATCCTCCCAGACAAGTCTGGTACCAATCCGCTGACTCGATGGGATTGAGGGTTTGTGAATCTGGGGCGAAGAGATCGATGTCATGTGTACTGCAGGACGCCTCCGACCACTGCCTCACACGCGCCTGTCTCACTGCATTATGAGGCCAATTTGTTATGGATAGATTTGGACTTTTGGCGTAGCTTATAATTCGTACAAGAATTATGCGTAAAGTTAGGTTGCTGAGATATTTGAAGAACTCCGGACCGCTGGTGTCTGCGCTATTAACCTTTCCGGAGGTTAACGCGTTCACCACCACACCAAGCGAGTCCTTGGTTTCGCCTTTATCCCAGCCGTGTTGTTAATCTATAAATGCTGTCAACAATCAAATACATAAAAAGTGACGACATTATGTTTTCAGTTTCGAAACTTTAAAATCGTTTATCGTCGTTATGCTGGGCTGTATTTCTGTATATGTGTTGACATAATGGACAATAATCTTTATTACTTAGAAGCTATACACAATTTTGTAGAGGTTAGTTTTTCATTACGTTTTTAATTTCACTTCCATTGCTTCCGTACACAGCGATTCGTGTTCTCCGTCTTTATCTTTTTCTTTTCAATTTCTCTGTTTTTCATGCTTTAGTATTTTAAATGGTCCTTATATTCTTTTTTCAGGTCTTAAATGAATATTTTCATAATGTCTGTGAGCTGGATCTCGTCTTCAACTTTTACAAGGTGATTTGTTGTTTTACAAAAATTACCATTTTTTGCTATGTAACTGTTTTCTGCATCTATACAGGTGTTTTTCCGTTGCATATAGCGCATCATTTCTTGGTCTTTCTTGTGACTTTTAAAAAATGAAAGCTGAAAACTTACTCTGTGGTAACAGAGACATTCTTTACGTGCGTTTCATCTACGATTGCATTCCTTGTCGATTTCATCCCAATCTCTTTCATTATTGTTTCTGACCATATGTCGCCGTCTCTCCAGATGTTAGAATTTTCTCTCGGAAACATGTTATTGTGAACGAGGAAGGCGTGGCTCTTTACTATATTTGCTACCGCGTACGTATAATGCGCTGGTTAGAGTGGTTAGAGGTACCCTACAATACATGCGTGGTCCTTGGCATGACAGCTCTTCCTGGGCCCATCAAGCCTTCCATCCCTTTTTCCCTCCGTGGTCTGCAAATTCTTACTAGAATTGGCGTATCCCTTAGGGATTTACCAGCTCCGGACGCCTTGCTTTTTTATTTTTTGTGAACTACAGGTGTCGTCTGATTCTCAGATGATTTATGTCAGACTCTATTGTTACCTCAGAGAACTATTGGCATACAAGAACAGGAGAACTGTTTGGTAGGAGAATTCGCTAACAAGCGCTGGTCTGCCTATTTGCTATTTGTTTCATCCAGTGATTTGACGCCACATTTACGTGTGATATGCTGTTTAAGTTGTCGACGTTCTGTGAATTAACATTATATTCTCTTCAACGTAATGGTTCTTATTGAAACGACTCTCTTAGTTCTTCGTAACCTTGTTATTTCCTCTGTTTTTCCACATTTCCGGTGCCGTAGTACCAGTAATGGTGTTCGTGAGGTCTTTGCAACGGATCCTTAGGATCAACGGTTTCTAGGTAGGGCTTCATCTCTTTTACGTATTTTGCATTTGCTTATGGTCTTAGTAAGTTAATTACCACAGTTACGTCTTGAAAATTACTCTTCTTGCTTTCTGAGTTCAAGCGCAATGGTCCCAATAACGAAATTTTTCTCTATTACCACTTTGTATATGCGATTTCCAATCACTTCGTACCGTTAACAAAGGGGTTTTACATAGCCTGTTACAAATGGCTTCGCTGTGACATTGATATAGGTCTTTAATCACTAGTTCATTGATTTCTTTGTGCACTTCACTGGTAATTTGTGAGCATCTTTGTTCAGTGAGAAATCCCGAGGTTTCAGTTCCTAGCTTGTTGAGACCACTAATTGTTAGTAAGGTTTTGTCCCGGAAAATGGTTTTAAGTACGCAAGCGTTTCCCAAGCTTGTAGTCTTATTAAACAGTCATATTCGTGCTCTTTACTTCGATGGGAAAACTGCTATCATAAGAACCCCTTGCTATACTTAATTTTAGCACTTTATTGAGTTGTAGTTATACTAATGGCGCTTCATTTGATGTGATTCATACCTCTCAGAAACAATGATACCTTGACAGTTTCTTTCTTAGTGGATTCTTTCAGCATCGAAATAACCAGCTAACATTCGTTTTCAGAATGAAAGGGGAATTTAGACTTTAAAATTGTAATTTGACCACAAAACACTTGGATGATGTGCACTTGTGTCCAAGATTTTTCGTTTCACCTTTTCAGTTGGTTCGATTTAGCCGCATGTGTTAAATGTTCACTGTGGAAACGATAGTTTTGGTACCTAAGCCTATCTTTGACAATCGATTCGACAGATGAGTTAACAATTACAAAGCTTTCAACAATGTTTTAGTAACTGGCACCTTCTATTTCCCACCTTGATGGTTCTGTGGATTAGTTTAGTAGTTAATATATGAATCCTATATGACCTTTGGTTTCCATGTGTATCTCTCCAAGTGTTCGCAGTAGATTTTTAAGCCTGCAGCCTACGGGAATTTTTCGCTGTTGCAATGCTATGATAGGCCTCCATTACTCCAAGTGCAAGATAATTAATTACTATTGTCCGAGGAAAGTTGTTTAACCATTTATCGCTTTATAAGTTACAAGTGAAATAATTCTTGTGCAATTTTGGCGAACGTGGTATTAAATCTTCGAATTTCTCAGTGAGTCTCATCATCGCTTAAATGTGACCCATTTCTTCCTCGAAACCCTAAAATTTGTGTTCTTCATTCAATATTCTCTAGATCAGGTTGAAAATAATACGAATAGAGGTCTTATATACTAGAAATATATGTTGTGTAAGGGGATGGGTTAAGAAGGTACCACGTATTTTGTAAAATTTGGAAGTTTCCTTTACATGCATCTTTCTTTTGTTTTCTTTTCTACTGCTTACTATTCTTGCTCTGGATAGGCAAGCTTCATAACTCTCTGATTAATACCTTTTTTCATTTTTCATCAGTTTATCACAACTTTTATATCATCGGTGATTCTTAATTAAGACTTTGTAGGTTTATTCTGTGGTTGACGAGATGTTTCTCGCTGGTGAAATTAGAGAGACTAGTCAGACAAAGGTCCTCAAGCAACTGCTAATGCTTACATCTTTGGAATAGAGTGATTACGTCCGTTTTCGAACTAGTGAGGTCTCTTCAGTTATTGTATGTATTCTTTTTGTGTATATTTTAATATGTGTATGAGTCAAAATGATAACAATTTAATCCTTTACTGTTTGTTATTTTCTTCATAATTCACGTTTCTTATCCTTTTTTTTCCAGAGAAGCACTGCGCAATTTTGTGAAGTTGATGGAAAGAAAAGCCTTACTGTTTTTGAAGGAGCGTTTAGTCAGAAATATGCTTCATTTTATGTTCATTATCTATTTTCTACATTCCACCTTGTCAGTTTAGCTGCTTATGGTGCATTTTGATATTTACTAGGATGTTTTTTTCTACCTTTTATGTATTGGTTATGATTTATTGACCGACCACGTGCATAAATGTTGTGTACAGGCGTTACACAATCTTAACATGAAATCCACTATGAAGTCGGTTTAGACTACTACAACGAAGTGACGAATCCCTCTAGAGTGTTGGTAAGAGGTTCTTGGCACGTTTCATGTATTGTGCCGTGAGCATAGTGTTTCATTACACATAATGGGGAACTTGTTGATGAGTAGATGTCGTGTAAAGACTGTTTTTGACCCTAGAAATGCTCCATTCATCAGCTTCTTGTACCACAGTTGTACTCATGTTTCCATTTCGTGCCCTCTTGAAGTTCACAACACAGGGTCTCTCTAGAATGCTATCTCCCTGCTGAGCACTTTCAAGCCGAGAATGCGGGCTTGTTTGTTTTCAAAGCGAGATGTGGAACATTTATAACGGAAATTATATAGGTTCGGGAAATAAATCGTTCATGGAAACGAAAATATGGTGAACCTTCAATCCTCTTTAATTGCAAGTTAAATTGCCATATGCAACCTGCAGTCTTGCTGCTAATCACGAAATGGTGAGCTCATCAGTAAAGCTTCGTCTTCTCAGTCACGCCGAGAACACCACAATGGGGTCTTGTTCAGGGAATACGAATTACACGTTTCGAATGTGATGATTTGTTTTTACTCTCTTCGCTGAGAGGATATCAACAGCTGAGAGGATCGTTTTTAATGGTGGATATATTGGTGGTGTAGCTCGCCGGGTTCTTCCGTTGACATTGCGCTTATTTGAAACTTCTCTGAGTCGCATCGATTACTCTTGGTTGCCACTTGGTTGAGGATTTGCACAAAGTCTATATTGAGCTGGACTCGACACATTAAAAATACATATTCACCCTCTTTTACCTTTATCACTATCCACCACCTGTGAACGCACCACGTAACCTTGTATTTGACTGGTACGAAATTCACCTGAAGGCGATCCATTGTTCAGGTGTCTGGTTCGATTGCTGTCCTACGCGTTGAGCGACTCAGATTGAATGTCATCGAAAATTCATTGTTCGTGATTCGCTTCGTTTTGTTACTAATCGTTAGGCTGAGCATCTCTGTCATTACGCTCAGATTCGCATTCCTCGGAATCTATATTCAACGGAGATGATATAGGATTGGATGTTGTTCTCAGCTTCTTCATCTTCATGTTATAACTACGTGGGGAGTCGATAGCGGAAGAAATTCATTTCTTCTCACGCTGATACAACTGAAGCTTATAAATTTCAGTTTTTGATCGCAATAATTCGATGGGCACGGAACCTACTTATTACGAAGTCTGTCTCTAAACACAAGTGGGAATCGCTTCGGAATTCGTAGAAAGGAGCAAGCTTATTCCACATATTTCCCTGAAACGAATAATGATTTCAACCTATGTGGCACATTCGAGCACAGAATAGACTTAATTAATTGAAATAAAAGCACTGGGAAAACCATTACGCATTTACTTTCCAGCTAGAAACCAATCTGCTTTTAACGGTTACGTAAAACATCGGAGTTCTGGAGACGTCTAAGTCGTTGGCCTTAGGAAACTGAGATTATTGATGATGTGGTAGTCGGTGGGCGAGGTGTCCGGTCAGGGTGGTGGTTAAAGCAGAATTTGGTAGCTCAGGTTGTTCAACCTTTCCAGCATTCATAGAACTATGTGTTTAAAATGTTAAGTTTTTATTTACTGCCTAAAACAATCTTCAGATTAGGGTATTATGTGAAATACAACCACAGTGATTCTGAGATATTTGCAAAACTCCGGACCACAGGCGTCTGCGGCAGGGATCGAACACGTCATTACCTTTCCTGGAGGTAATGCGTTCACCATAACACCATGTATGTTGATGGATGATTGCTAATGGCAGTGGTAGATAGAAAACTGCCTGAGAGAATGGGGAAACGACGAACCCCCGTGGTGCGATGGTGAGCGCGTTACTCCCCGGAAGCGGCAACAGCGCGTTCGATCCCCTATCCTGCGCTGTGGCGTTTTGCAAATACCTCGGTATCAATGTGGTTATGTGTTTCCATTTCGTGCGACATCCACTTGTCGAGCTCTTTTGACTTCCAAATCATGTTTGCATATTTCAGAAACCTCCGGAACAGTTCGGATGCTTACCCTGAACTCTTCTGCAAGTTATCGAACAGTTTTGCTTGTATTTTCTTTCACGAAAGGCTTTAATTCATCCTCATCAGTAATAGAGGAAGGTCTCCCCCAGTTTGAACGTCCCTTCTCCCTCCACCCCAAGCTTGAATTCGCTATGACGAAATTTCTTAAACGGAAGTTGCATTGTGCACTGTGCATCCGTTATCACTTCCTTCTCCTATACCTCTTCGAGTCACTGGCGCCGCATACGCCCAAGGTTGAATTAGTAGAAGTTAATTTATCGACATTGCTGTTTTGACATCTGAAAACCTAAGCCATAGAATTTACCACAAGTACAACTTATTTCAATCCAATTATGGGGCAGATAGCACAGTGGTGGTAATGCCCGTCATGAAGACCATGGTGCTAGTTCGATTCCGCTCCAGCTCAACCAAGTCACTCATCCCTCCTGGGTTGGGAAACTGATACCGCACTTGTCTGGGAAAAATTCACTTTCTGCAATCCAATTGGGAACTCTCCAGCCCAGCTATCTGAGGACTCCAGGAAGAATTGCTCGGTTAGCATTCTACGACATTCAAGATGAAATGAAAACCCTCAAGCAACAACCGAAGCAACACGTAGAAAAAAACTTGGAAGGGCTCCGTGGCAGTGGATGCGAGGAAACGAATTGGATGCGAGAAGTGTTGGGATCAGCGCAGTAGACGTGAAGACGGATCAAATAAAATAGAGCCGAGCCAGGGTGTTGATGAGTACTGGCGGGTGCTTCTTCAGGTGTCCAGATGTTATCCTCTCCGGATCAGGTGTTCTTCAATTTCCGGCCGACCATGTCAAGTTTGCGAAGCGAGAACCGTTCGGACAACATATCCATCATGCTTTTTTTTCGTGTAGAAATAGGGGGGCGCGGCTACTGAGGGATTCGAGAAGTATTCCTGAATGATTTTCTCCGTTGCCTTTCTCGAAGCGTAACTGTACCGCCTGGGCGTCGAAGTGCAATCATATTGGTTCTGCGATTGGGAAAGTTTCGGAGACTTTGCGAATGTTATTCGCAACCTCCGCACCTTTGCCCATAGGTGGTGCTTTTCTCTCTATAGGATCTTCTTTGTCGCCTATTTGCATTGCTTTGCAACTTCGGACGCTGGCGCTTGTCTGTAGCTCGATCAAATCCACGCATCCCAAAATTCTCTTATTAGCATCATCTCGAGAGTTTCTAGAGGCAGAAGGCTTTCGAACTCTCAACTTTCATAGCTCTAACGTAAGGATGGTTAATGATCCGATCGTATTTCTCGACAATGTTATCAAAAATGGCATCTTCCCCACAACCGACTACGAAGTGAGTAAATCCCAGTTTATGGTGGTTTTGGAACATCGTTTTTTTGAGTTTGGGTGCTTTTTCTCTTTTTCACGCGAAATGAAATCCTGCACGAAGGGTGTGATGGTCTGCCCCGTGTAGAATTTTGGCACAATAGCAACATCCATTAGGCAAAGCCTTCCATATACTATAATTTGGTCTATTTTGTTATGGTATTCTCCGTGGAGAGTTGATAGTGGGCTACTGGAATTGCCAGTTATCATAAATCGTTTTGACCGTCATGATAACTCAGATAGTCATCTGTTCGTTCCATTTTTAGGTCATAATGTGGCGTTCTTCAGACGTTCTTCTGGGTCCAATCATAGAGTTGAGATCTCCAATGACGACGACTAAGGTTGCACTGTCTTCTCTGCAGAACTTCCCCAGATCTGGATAAAGGCTTCGACATCGCCTTCAACATAGCTTTGTGTGTGTACGTAAACGTTGAAGATCGTTGAAGCCGGTATTGATCCACATCTGCTCAACCGTAAACATCCAAGTCCGGTTGTTGGTTATCCGAATGAACTGATGTTCATGGCCAAACTGGTGTTGACGAGAATGCCGGCACGCACGGCCAACTCTATCGTCACTTGTTCTGAGGAACAGTTATCCGGTGTCACAGACAGCGTTGATGGGATGGGCGTGTTCTCGTTGCACCTAGTCGTATGACGTCGCACCTTTTTCTTCTAGTGACTACGCACACTTATGGTGGACTCATGCAAGTGGAAATGCCGTGCAGCTACAAATCATCAACTTAATCTTCCCACACATAGGCAGTTTAGAATGCCTCTGAGTTTTCAGCACCGTCTTCGTACTCGTCCTACTTTACGCGGCTATGTCGAGAGCTCCTTCAGGGTGAGAGTAATGAGGCCTATTCAGTTGACTGTGTGCAGCGTTTGACACCCACATGTAGCGTGGTGGCTTCTGAACGTGAGACTCACGTGAAGCTTGCCAATCTCTCTCGAAGTACACGAGCCCGTTTGTTGGGCTCGACTTCTAACCACCTCCCATGTACTTCATTGTCACTTGATTGCACGTTTTTGGTCGAATTGACTCGTTGAGTACAATCCACATGGACCAGAACACACTTACACACGCATGGATGAATACTTCCTCATAAATACAGAAGGTATGTGCCAAACCGGTGTAGCAGAAACAAGGAGTCCTTTCCCTGGATCCACCTCCGTCTCGCTATCTGTA